TTGCTGACCCACGGTTCGTCTCAGGGTGACTGGGCCGGCACGGACTTTGCCTCCGCGGGCTGCGGATTCAGCTGCGACGACTGTATGCGCTTCTTCGCATATATTCTTCGTTTGGATGCTAACGTTGCACGTACAGTTGTGAGGAACAGCCCTGATGCGTTCGAAGACGCCTATTGGGAGATCAACTCCTTGCACGTCTTCACACCCAAGAGCTGAATATGGCCTTGTCCCATCTCCACCCATATTTCTAGCATCTGCAATCTAAATCTTGACGGACTCTGGTTTTGTATCCAACCCGCGCTCATACTGTGTCTCTACTTTTCCTTGTACTACACCCTACCCTGTCCTTTCTAGCCGGCCACTTTAACTGCACTTTTATCTCGGACTCTCTATCTACTCACAAGTCGTACCTCGGAATCATTCTGACAGTAGCTGGGTAGCCCAAAACCTCATGTACCTGTACGCAGTTCAGTCATATCTAGATTGAGTTGTTCTGTAAGTTATACAAGAAACACGGTTACCTAGATGGCAACAATACACGATAGCAAGCGACAAATCAATCCGGGAAGACGATAACGAAAGATGAGAAACGCGATGGTTGAAAGCGGGCAAACCAATGGACATAAATCGTTATAAGATACCTGCGAGCGGCTGATCTACAGGTCGGAAGCGGCGGACGGTGCGAGAGACGGTTCGCGCTGCGATGAGCCAGCCGGGCGGAGGGCAGACGAGACGGACGGCACCGCAGACGTATGTCTCTGGCGCTCCCAGAGCTTGTCCCCGGCGCGTGCCTCGATGTTCGCGTACGACGCCTCCTGCGCGAGCCTCACGCAGTCCCGCGTCCCGAGCACGAGCAGCTCGAAGAAGAATGCCGACGCCGCGCGGCGGCTCGCGCCCTGCGCCATCGCGTTGAAGCTCACGACCTTCTCCTCGCGCGCGCGCGGCTCGGGCTGCAGCTCCTGACGCACGAGGCGCAGCGCCTTGATCGTGTTCTTGCTGTACCCGCGCCCGTCCTCGGCGCGGTCCGCCTGCTCCTGGCCCTGCGCGCTCCGGTCGTCGAACGTCGCGATCGGGCACGCCGCGTCCGCGAACGCGCGCGCGCCCTCGCCGCCCTCGTCCAGCGGCGCGTCCGTCGGCGCGGGCGACGACAGCCGGCTCAGCTCGCTCAGCACGCTCCGCGCGCGCTCGAGCGTCTCGTCTGCCGCGGCGACGAACTCGGGCACCTGCATCTCAAAGTCCTCGCCCGCGAGCCCGGACTGGTCGCCGAAGTCGAGGTCGCCCCGATCGCTGGGCACGCGCCCGCCGAGGATGTCGCTGCCGAGGGCGGCAGAGGGCGCGACGGACGCGTCGCGTCGCCCCTGCTCGGGCTCTTCGTCGTCCCCCGGGGCGGGTGCACCTTCGAGCCGCGGCCGCTTGCTTGGCGGCTTCTCGCCGCGCGGTGCCTCGGGTGAGCCTCTGCGCTTCGGGCCCGAGAGGGCCTGGAGAGGACGCATAAACAGGTCTTGCAGTTCGGGCGCCATGCCCGGCGGTGCTGCGCAGAAAAATGTGCCGGCAGGCGTGTTCCGTATCGGAAGGAAGTGCGCTACGGGATCATCGCGGATCTCGAGGAGGCGCATGAGGAGCGACGAGCGCGGCAGAAAGCCGTGCTCAGTGGTGATGCCGCTCACGTCAGGTCGTTGAAAACCGAGTTCTGCACCCCGCCGGCGCGCTGCTTGCGATCCAGGGCCTCCCTCGAGCTCGATCCGCTCGTCGAAGATTTGTCTCTGGACGCGCGGTTTCCGCTGGACCTTGGCCGCCTCTGCCTCGACTTGTGGTGCGAGTTCGACGTCTGCAGGGGGTGTCTTGGGCGGTTCCGTGAGCGGTGATGCTGGTAACTCATGAGTAAAAACGAAGCTCGCCAGAACGTGAGACGTACATGCACGAGATGGTGACAGCGCAGGCACCTGCTCCAGCTCAGGCGGCGGAACGTCAAAGCCAATTGCAAGGTCTTCTAAATTGATGTCCTCCCCGCCCAGGAGGCCAAGATCGTCGTCATCGAAGGGATGCAACGATAGCTCTCTACTCCTATAGGATGGTGCATCGACGTCCATTTCCTCAGCACCGTGCCTGCCCATGAGGTGCGAACCGAGCGACTCGCGCGGATGTCGTGGCGGAGCAGCGTCACGGCCATATTCTATTTCCATGCTCTCGGCCCCTTCCGACGACGCTCGAGCAACAGATCGGCCTCGCACGCCCATCACACCGTCACCGAAATCGAGATCTAGCTCCAGCTCTTCAAAATCTTGTGAACCAATGGCTTGTGGGTCCAGATCATCGAAGCCGGGTCCATCGAAGTTGAATTGAAAGTCATCTGCGGCGGCAAGGGTAATGTCCGCGGAGCGAGCTATATGCTGCCCTGCAGGCTGAATCGGCCGCTGCTGAAAGTCAATATCCCTGGAAACACTTAGTAAGCATGTAGAACGAGCTGACGCCTTCCCAACGAACCAATTAACATCAGGTAACAATGCGTCTAAGTCCAGGGCATTTGTTTGCAAAGTAATCGCATTCCGGTTCACGACCAGTTGATCCTCTGTCATATCGACCACACCGGGACGGAATGCCATCTTGATTTTCAGGAGTGCTTCATTACAGTCATCCAGAAGGTATTTGGCTTTGCGGCTGTAGATTCGAACGACACCAAGGAGTAATTGACCGCTGAGACGGAGGGCCATGACTTCAACCTCCTGTCCGACTATAGCGTCTGCCGCGCCGTCAGCCGTGATTGGAGACTGACAAGGGCGGCTCTACTCACCAACTGACTGCTCTATATCTGTTTGTAATGTTTGTGTCTTGGACAGCTTCCGCTCCATGTGTGCCGCCAGCCATACTTTCGCCAGTGGTCCCCTCCGGGACAGGATCGCCTCGGAATAAAACTGCCGCCATACGTCAGCTCGTTTTGCTGCCTTGCTCTGCACAATATACAAACCATAAAGCGAGGCTGTTGATATGCAGAAGCACAAGGAAATTAGAGGGTAAAGGGGGTATCGCGTGCAGCCGCGTCGTGGTGGTTCGTGATGAGCGTGAGTGTGACCGACCGCGGCCCCCCCGCGTGACATCCCGCCCTGGGCGCTCGAGTGCCATCACGTGTGTGTCACTTTTGTCACGGGTTCAGTCACGTCACGTCCTCATTTGCCCGGAAGGGTTCTTGCTCCCAACCTCCGTCCAACATACCAAGGCCGCCGCGAACAGCGTCCTCCATAAAAGCCGGCCAGGAATATGCTGGCATCGTCGTCTCGCAATTCACTGAGATGCTCCAAGATTGCCCCGAGCGCCGCGCGGTCGCTTTCGAACAAGCCACCAGGTGCGCGCATGCAGACCCTGTTCTAGCCAACTCCGAAATAACCCTTTCCGCCAGCATGCGTCTCGCATAGCAAGAGATATGCATCCTTTCAGCCGATGCAACGGCGCTCTGCATATGATATGCCCTCACTTTCTGCCCATGATATGACATACTCTAAAAAGCTGGATACCGCCTACCGGCCTCCCAGCTCGCAGGGTACCACGCTCGCTCGTCTTAACATGGAGCTCGGTCAGCTAGTGCAACAGAAGAAGGCATCGGAAGTTTTTGCTATGGCTAAACGCATGAAGGAGCAGGGTATCAAGCCGAACTATGCCACCTACGAGCTGCTGCTGGAGACCTGCAAGGATGCTGCCCTCGTGACCGAGTCCATGGCAGTCTTCGAGGACATGCTGGCTAACGACATTGTGCCGCAGAGGTCGGCGTTCCATCATTTGCTATATGTGAGGTGAAGTCTGTTAGTGTCCGGTCTCGCGATCTCATCCTCAGCATTTGCCTAGTCCGTCCGCTACGAGTCCATAGACATGGTTTGGAGAGTCTGGAACCTCATGCTAGCAAATGGCATCCAACCCAGCGAATTCACCTACGAGCTCCTCATCTTGTATTTGACACGACAAGGCTATTTCGAGCTTGCTCTGCAGAAGCTGTCCGAGATGGGCGACATTGACTTGAGGCCGACACTGAAGACCGCACAAAGTATCGTCATCTTGGCCTGTGAACTCGGGCACCCTCGCCTGGCCGTCGAACTTGCGGAATCATTTGAGCATTCATCGGTACGGCGCCTTGATGGTGTGGTTTGGGTGAAATGCCTTATTACCTCTTCCGAGGCACTCTATGTGAGTAGAATATTCTTAGATCTCCTTTCCATTTCTAACTCTCTTGCAGGCGGATGGCGTCTTGACATCTTGGGATCAGGTTGTAAGGAAGCTGAAGATTACCCCAGATGAAGGCTGTTGCATCAATGTCCTACACACCGCCGGCAGGCATGGTCTTTCATCGCTTGCACCAGACGTCATCAAGGCTCTGCAGAGCCTCAATGTTGAGTGGGCGGAGCATCACTTTGCGCCTGTCGTCGAAGCATTCTGCCGGGACGGCGACGTCAAAGAGGCCTTCGGCGTTCTGGAGCTCATGCGCAACAACGACGTGCCACCGACTCTGGAAACTGCCTCTCCCATCTATGAAGTTATCAGTGGTAGCGCGGATATCGTAGACGAAGCGTATGGCATGTTGGAGGACTTACGCAACGAAAAGCGTACCGTGGACGTTGCGGCCTTTAATGTCGTCATCCAGGCCTGCGTCGCCCTAATGGACCTGCAACGTGCTCTTGGGACATATCAGGTCGCAGGAGACCTCGGCGTCACACCGAACATCGACACTTACAACCTGCTTCTCTCTGCTTGCGTATCGGCGGGCCACCGCCAGCTCGGTGACCGGTTGATCAACGATATGCGCGAGGCGAGCGTTGCGCCGGACGCGTACACCTACGAGCGCCTCGTCTCGCTGTGCCTTACGCAACCGACATACGAAGACGCGTTCTACTATCTTGAGGAGATGAAGACGCGCGGTATCCGGCCGACGCAGTTGATCTATGAGTCGATCATTCGCAAGTGCTTCAGCCTCGGCGACACTCGGCACCAACTCGCTCTCGACGAGATGATCGAGCAAGGGTATGAGCTCCACGGCAAGCTCAGGAACTTCCTCGAAGGCAACCAGGGGAAGTTTGAGCCCAAGACCAAGGGGTTTGCTCCATTGAAGGCGAAAGTGGACCAGAGACGTGCGGCGAAGGGGAATGAGATGCAGGCGCAAGATGCACAGAAGGCGCGGGAGGCGCAGGAGCAATGGGAGGACCAAGCACAGGCGACACCGCCATGAGAATAGCTTGGTATTGTCAGTATACTAGACTTGTTTATAATGCTGATAGATGCATATCCAGCTCCATTATGTGCTTGAGTAGTCGTGGTGTCGTATACGGTATGGCATATTGAGAAGGATCTGGCAGACTGCAGCTCAGTGGATATTGACCTCAGGGCGTGGCGACAGTTGCTTAAGTCTAGAGACATGCTGCTTAAAAGACTTCCCTTTCTTGGTTAACGCATATGATACCAAAAATCCGTCTCATATGCTCATTTCCAAGGCGAGTTCTCCTAGAGAGGACAAGCGGTCGGGGGAGTCTGCTGGAAGTTTGAGGTATCTGCTCAGTGTCGGAGAGACGTACGGTCATGATCGGAGTCGCGTGCGTCGTGCTCAAAAGATACCAAGGGAGACTGACTGGCAATGCTGTAGCCGGAAGGTGTAAGGTGCGCTAGCTGCACAGCTACGGAACAGGGACGCTTTTGTTGTCAGAGTCCTGAAGTCAAAGTAGGTACAGCAGAGCCGGGCCATACGAGGCTCGCACGCATCGTAGGGTGGCGGCGCGCCGTCCGCAAGCACCGCCACGCCGCAAGCTGGTCAGCGCCGTTCCCATGTATTCGAGGCGTAACGCCCGGGTGTCATCGAACGTGGCGGGAGTGCGAGCTGAGCGCTGAGGCCTGAGGATCAGAAACATCATATGCGAGAGATTTGCCTTACAGACCCTCAGTCGGTTTTTTCCTCGCATTTAAACCTCGCTTCGACACCTACGCACCGTCAACTAGTTTTGCGCTTACATGGCTCGCGCCACAGGGACTACGTTGACTATCCTCGCAACTACAGCACAAAGGCAACACGATTGCTGTAGTCACCCAAGTGTGCTTCCCACAGTCCCCGAATCTCTGGAGCGCGTTCACCTTATATTGTTTGCATTCGTTTTTATTTGCAGATGACACGATTTAGGACTTTGTTTGTTCATTTTCTTCCCTGTGTCACAGCCTACCAAAAGGCCGTGGTTATACTCAGACACATTTCAGACCAGTTAAGATTGCCAAAACTACGGTAGCCCCTCAGGCCGCCCCTCAGCCGGGCAATTCTACCGCCACCGCGGCCCGCAAGATGACGGCTTTCG